CTGGGCGCTGGCGGCGGTGGCAGCGACGCGGTGCTGTCGGGCGTGGGGCTGCACGTGGACTCCTTGGAATCGTCGTCCTCGGACGAGCAGCGCGCTTCGCCCTTTTTGGCGCCCGCAGCTCCTGCTGCGCCCTTGGCGCTGGCCGCGCGCTCCTGTTTGCGGAACTTGGCCCGGCGGTTCTGGAACCAGACCTGTGGGCACAGGCAGGAGCCAGTCAGCCCAGGAGAGGGTCCCAGGGAGCTTGAGCTCAGCGTCCGGAAAAGATCCGTCTCGGATTGTGGGTTTTTTTTTTTTTTTTTTTTTTTTTTTTTTTTGTCTTTTTGAGACCTGGTGTCCCTGTAGCCCCAGCTGGCCTGGAACTCACTGAGTAGACCAGGCTAGCCTTGAAATCACAGATCCTCCTGCCTCTGCCTCCCTAGTGCTGGGATTAAAGGCGTGCTCCACCACGCCCAGCCCCATCTCCGACTGTTACCAACCTGAGGCTTACAGCCTTCTGAGAGCTGCCCCTTCAGCCCCCACCACCCACCCGGTGCCCTGTCCGTGCCCTTTTCCTCATGCCCCTTCCCCCAGGCTCTTGGGGGTTTTGCCCTTAGGATCCGCTCACCGTTGGACCCCGCTGCCTTTGGTGGTCTCCTGGAGGGGGCTCTGCTCGATCACTCTTTAGGAAGCTGGGGCATTCTAGGTGGTGAAGAGTGAGTGGATCGGGACGCTAGGGAAACCTTTTGTCCGGGGTCCCTGTCCAAGTCGGCCAGCTGAACAGCGGTACATGGAATTTGTACGCCCTGGCCTCCTTTGCAGCCGCCTAAACTTAAACTACCCGGGTTCAAGGATCTCAGCTGCAACGCTGGGTAGATCACCTGGAAGTACTGATTGGCCTGATCTTAATCCTGCCAGTCCCCTACCAACCAGGCGTCTTGCTTCCTGGCTTCATGAATAAAATTCTTAAACCTCCAACTGTCTCTTCCGGGAGATTTAGGAACACCGACCCCAAGGCAACTTGAAGTTAAGTGGGTTGGGTCCTCCGAAAGTCCCAGGTCCCACCCCGCTGCCATCCTGGGCTGCTCAATCACACCCGGACTACCCAGGCTGCTGCTGTCACTGGCTCCCGGGTGACTAACACCCCCTTCTACGCGAGCCAAGCACAACACGTGCATACACGCACCTGTACGCGAGCCTCAGTGAGATCGATCTTTAGCGCCAGTTCCTCGCGCGTGTAAATGTCGGGGTAGTGGGTCTCTGCGAAGACGCGCTCTAACTCCTTAAGCTGCGCACTGGTGAACGTGGTGCGGATGCGCCGCTGTTTGCGCTTCTCATGCAGGCCCGACGGCTCCGGGAAGAACTTGTAGGGCACTGCAGGTGTGTGCGCGAGGATAGGGGCAAGGAGAGGGAGATGGGTGAGAAGCGGAACTCAGCCCTCAGATACCTGTGTCCTGCTCTAGAGGAAATCGCATACACCCTCTCAGGTTGGTTTGGTCTGCATAGCCTCGGGCCAAGAGTCGGATGGAGCCCTCAGGGGTCAAGGCTGAAAGATCAGGGCTCAAAAGCCCCCTGAAACTAGGAAATCAGAAGCTGATCCTCCAGTCAAGGGTCCATTGCCACCACACCCTGTCCTCTCCACCTGTCCCTGACCTGCCCTTCTGTGGCCCCTCCCAGCCTCCCACCCTCAGTGTCTCTCCTCAACTACCCTTCCAGCTTGACTCCAGGTCCTGTTCTCTGTCCACACTAGCCCTGGATGGCTGCCGGGTCCTATTAGCACCCGGGGTCTCTCCACTAGCCAGTCTTAGGCCTTGGCTCTGCTTGAGACTCTCCTGTGGGGTCTACTTCAGTCCTGCCACCAACTAACTCTTCACTGTGTACAGATGTGGTGCCCCTGTTACCCCCAGCCCATCTCTCTCCTTCCTAAGCTTTATTTCCTCAGTCCTGCCTCTCATTCCTGGTCCTCATTCTCCAGATGCCTCTTCTCCTTTTCCTCTTCCTCTATCTGAATCCCTCTTTAAACATTCCCCTTCTGAGAAGGTCAACTGTTCTCTGTGTACCTTTTGAGAAGGATTCTTATTTCTTCCCACCAAAGTTTCTCCATCTCCTTTACCCTTTTTCTCCCACCCAGATCATCCTCTATGTCCCATCTCCTCTGAATCACATCCCAAGCTTTCCAGTCATTGTCTTCCTACAATCCACCTCAACCTCCACTACATGCCCCCATCCTGAGTCCTCCCCTCTAACCCTGGTTTGTCTCCACATTTTCCTGTGGTCACCAATCTCTATCTTTCATCCTACCTTCCCTCATCCCTGTCTCCAACACCCCATCCTTATCTTCATCTCGCTTGTGTCTGTTTCCAATATCTTTTGGTCCTCGACTCCTATAATTTGCATCCCCATCACCTGGTTCTTGTCTCTGTCTCCCCAACATCGTGTACCCATTTCTCTTACTGTCTTTAATCTTCCCATTTGTGCTTCCATCTCTCTGTACCTTATGCACACCCCCACAGTCTCGGAACCCCATTTGTCAGAAGTCTTTCTCCTTATTTCCTCTCTGCAATCTTCATCCTCAACTGGATGGAGGTACCTAATCTGCCAATCCCCGTTTTGGTTTCTGATCTCATCTCAGTGATTATTTCCTCAAATCCAGGTACTTATCTCTCAACCAAGCCTCAGTCTTCTACTTGGGTCCCCAGTGATCTTCCCAGGAGGGCAAGGGATCTGGAAACTGGGTGGGGCAGGCTGGGTCTCTAACTGAAGGGATCCCCATATCTGAGAGGCAAAGTGAGGTGGAGGGTTTGAACCGGGATTTGCTTGGTTCAAAAGACTTGGGGATGCAGGAACTGCCCCTGGGTTCTACTGGGCTGTTGCTGGAGTTCAGGGATGGAGGAAATACAGAAATAAAAGTGGCCTAAGGACAGAAGCTCTTTTTTTTTTTTTTTTTTTTTTTTTTTTTTTGGGGGACCGGGTTTTTTTTTTTTTTTTTTTTTTTTTTAAGTGATGAAGAGGTTTGGGCCCAGAAAGGACAGGTCCAAGACAGGGCAAGGAGTGAATAGATGTTATTAGGACTCTAGAAAGGTTCCCTTCTGGGCACAATTGCAGCGTGGGGATCTTTACTGGGGCCTTACCATCTAGGCCAGGAGTTGTAAGGATGGGAGTCTAACTGGGCTGAACTGGGAGCCTATTCTGAGGATACAGGGGATGAAGAGGTCTCTGCAGGTAGGAAGGGGAAGGCCTAGTGAGGGCCCCGCACTGGACCTGGGATCTGTTTCTTTGATCCAAAAGGCACAGGGCAGACATCTGGCATTGAGAAAGGAACGGGAGGGACAAGAGGGTGCGGCTCATCCTTCCCAAGAGGAATCTGGTATTACTGGGGGTCTCAAGGTACGTTGGAGGGGCTGGCTAGGGCAGGGATGGGGGACCACTTGTGGGATCAGAGGTAGTCACTTGCAGCGTAGGGCAGGGGCTAGAGGTTCCTCGGGATTTGGAGGGAGGATTGGGACGGGACTGCGCTCACCTGCCGAATAGGGCGCGGGCTGGTGGTCCCGTAGGGCGCCAAGCGCACAGTTGGAGGAGCCAAGCGCCGGGCAAGGTGGCCCAGCCGCGGGGAAGGCAGGCCGCAGGGGGCTGTATTGGAAGCCGCCAGGCTGGCTGCAGGCGCCGAAGTCGCCGTAGGCGGACGCCTCCATGGCCGCCACGCACGAGTCGTACGAATTGAGGTAGGAGTAGTCCATCGGCCCGGGGGGCGGGGGCGGAGGCCGGGCCGGGCCGGGTCAGGACGGGTAGGGGTCGGGGTCGGGGTCCCAGGCCGGGTAGAGTTCGGGATGGAGATTCGAGCTCCAGGCCCAAAGGATCTGAGACCCGCTCTGAGCGCCCAAGAGTCCGCCCGCCCCGTCGCGGCCCGCACTCTGCCCGGGTGCAAAGCAAGTGCAGCCCAGCCAGCTCGCGCGCCTTTTAACACGCAGGACCCCGCGGAGGGGGCGGGGCGGGGCGAGCTCCGCGGGGCGGGGCCTTGGCTGCCCAGACCCCGCCCTTAGCCACCCCGACCCCCACCTCAAAGGGTTCCTGTAGCCCTCTTAGGACTCCCGAGGTGCTGGCGGGGCTGCGAGGGTCCCCATCCCTGGAGTCCTCATCCTGTCCCAATCTGGC